CCGTGCACCTTGCAGCTTCTGCCTGTTCCGGCAGAGTGCTGGGAGTCCGGGACATTTTAGGTCAGCGTACTCGATGGCTCTCATGTATCTCCCGCCGGCAAATATCCCAACTAGCGAACACTGTAATGTTTCTCGACATGGTTCTTCGTGGGCGCCGAGTCATTACTCGGCGCCTGAGGCTTGTGGTCCTCGTGATCGACAATTCGGTTGACGATACAGAGTCACGCACCCGATGCATCATTAAGGGAGGAGGCGCATCACGACGGAAGACCTCTGGCGATGAGCGCCGATTCTCGCAATCGGGAGCCTGTACAGTCAAATGATGAGCTGAGCCTGCTTCGCACTAAAGCCGAGGAATCGAAGAATGCCCTACTGATGCTCGCGAGATGTCTGATAGAGCTCAAGATCGTGCGGATGCTGCGACTGACGCTGATGAGCGGACTCGACGTGAGCAGCTGGTAGACTGCGTTCGGAGGACCCCAGCAGATCGAGTCTGCACGCGTTCGGGCAGGACTTGGTCTTAGTCGTCGTCAACGTCGTCGTCAAGGGATGTCAGATTTCGAGCCGGCACAGAAGAGCGGGGAAGATTCGAAGGGAGATCCGCCGGCAGGTAAGCCTTGAGGCGCCCGACGTAGAACGTCGGGTGCAAACGCATAGATGTAGGTATGTCTAGCGTGTAAGCGTCACCATGCACCTTAACAACCCGAAGTGGGCTAATATATCTTGGCGCTAACTTATTAGCGCCCAAATTCGTCACTGAGGTGTTTGTTAATCCATTTGTTGATAAAAAGACTCTGTCACCTTCTCGAAATATAAACATATTATTTCGTCCTCTTCTGTCTGCATTCTCCTTTTGCTTATCGACTGCAACTTGTAATGCATCACGCACAAAACGCGTGATTTCTGTCGTAATAGCAGAAATTCGGTTGCTGCAGCCGAACTACAGGCGACGTATTCTATTTTGAGGCAAAATTAGCAACGGGAGACGCGATGGAAAGCATCGCGTCAGGAGTCGATATGCCGTTGGCCACAAAACTACCAGCATTAGTTGCATCGTAAGCAACCTTATTCGCATCGCAATCAATCATCAATAGTTTCGTCGCAATTCCATCCGTAGATACTCCCCCACCAAGCTTGGAGACTGGGTGCTCTGAAGCTGAGAGAGTAAGTAGCGCCTGAACGCGAGGATGCCTCGCGTTGTTAACGAAAAAGGGCGTCAACCCGGTTGACGCATGGACAGCATTGTTGATTGCAAACTCTACAAGTGGAAGAAATGAGCTCCATGACGAGAACGTGTTGCATAACTGCGCAAAATTTTCGAGCACTCTGTTCACACGCTTCGTTTGCCCATCCGTCTCTTGATGGGCCTCCGTAGACATAAGCAACCGCGTGCCTAATAGCTAGGATAATTCGGCCCAGAAAGCCGAAGTGAAACGCGGGTCACGGTCCAAAACAATAGATTCTGGCAAGCCGTGATGCCTAAAGATAAGTTCAATGAAGATCTTCGCTGTCGTCTCCGCCGTAATGTTGGTAGAGACCGGAGCAAAATGCACCATTTTGCTGAATCGATTCACTAGAACCATATACGTCCGTGTGTTTCTGTTTGAAAGTCCAATGATAAAGTCCATGCTGACAGAGCGCCAGGCTTCCGTAGCAATTGGAAGCGGACACAATATGGCTTGTGAAGACGGCACGAGCTTCGCACGATGACAGGTTTCACAGGAGCCACCCATTGCTGGATGTAATTTTTGATTCGCGGCCAGAAAAATACGCGAGAAATAGCCGCAAACGTCTGTTCGCGACCCAGGTGTCCGCCAGCTGGGCTGTCTTAAAACTCATGAAACAATCGGGCTCGAAGGTCGTCATCAGCAGGGATGACGACACGCGGTGAATCAAAGACGTCCATTGTGTAAGTCAGCAACAGGCCGTCAAGCGCGTAACGCTTCATGTTATCGCGTGTTGGTTTCGTCAACTTTGCGAGTAAAGTTTCGCTCGGGTACCTGAAATAATAGATGATTCCTGCATAGAAGGTATCATTCGCGTAGGATTCAGCGATCTGAGTTCGGATCGACAGCACGGGGGTCGAAATTATCACTTTGAGCCCCAGTTCAATACAACACGCACATATATCTTCGTCGTCATCAACATTCTTGATGACCCATGTAGCACCGAGGATCGTAATCAAGACGACGAGAAAGCGCTTCAGCTAGAATGTTATTCTTGCCAGGATTGTAATGAACACAACATTATACTCGGCAAAAAATGACAACAGCCACAGTGCCATACGCTGGGACAAGTGAGGACAAGTGATGGCGGTACGCAATGATGCGTGATCTGTGTAAATATATAAAACATCTTTTCGCAGATCAAATATACTCTAAGCTTGTTTAGCGCGTAGCGCATAGTTAAAATTTTAATGTAGTGTACGAGACTTGGCTCGAAAGATCAGCCACCTCCTTCTTCAGCGCAGCGATCTCCGCTTGCGACTGAACAACAACAGGATAGGCAGACGCGAATAGTTGGGCGTAATCGCCGCTCTTATAGGGCGCCACCTGTGTTGGTAGATGAGGGTGAGAACAAACGCATCCTTGCTGAAAGGTTGTTGGTCCGTCGCCATGTGAAGCAAAAAGCTTCAGATCCTTGTCCAGTGAAAGGGATACCCGAAAAGCTTCGACTCTTGGAAACCGATCGACGCGTTGCGTATCGACGTGCCTGGGCTGGTGGCTGCTTACGAGCAGAAGCACCAGCTGGCGTCTTTCTGCTAGGTCCGGATGGAATAGCAGGGGCAGCGTAGCGAGAAGAAGTTGGGGGTATGTAATTAACCAATATCTCCCTTGCACGCATCATATCGAAGCTGATTCGTTGCGACCGCTGTTTCACTGCATCTGCATGCAGTGTAAGACGGCGCAGGAACTCTGCCTCGTATTCTTCAGTTGTTCATATGAACAAAACACGATGGGGATAGGGAAAGCACGACCTCGTGCTTTGTCCTGCCTTTTCCACGATGAAAAGACGCTAAAAAATTTATTTGCGTCAATAGTGGCACGCTTTAACAGCGCCGCACTATTTACACGCCAGCGTGGCCATTCGCATTGCGGCGGCATAGCTGGCAACCCATCACTCACGTAGCCGCCCTCGCGACGGCGTGCTAGTGAGGTCGACTGTGAAGTCAAAGGAACTTTTTGCTCACCCTCGCCTGAGTCTGACTCTCCGTTATGGATTGTCAAGAGAGTTGACAGATGCGTTCGATTGAGAATCGCCGACTTGCTGTTGAGTCGCGGCTGTTTCTTTTGAAGCAGCGTGCTCAGTTGTGGTCACTGCGCTCGTTGGCACAGACGACGAGGCATGACCCTCGCTGTCATGAAGCATGGAGATTTGTTCCCATCAAATAAGACACCAACCATCTTCCTGATGGTTGGTGTCTTATTTGATGGGAACAAATATACCATCAGAGCACTGTGCTCATCACCACTTTGGGGTGATGGTAATGGAGTACTCTCATTGTAGTCAACAATGACAGACAAGTCTTCATCCGCACCACAATGGGATGATTAGTGTAATCTACTAACAAGCTGACATTAAATGCCGGCGTTGTTACTGAGACACTTGGCGACGGCTGCGAGTTATCGCGGTGCGTGCGCTTTGTGTTGGTCTGCATGGGCTCCTTTGCAGGCGACCCACCAGCCTTAACACGTATCGGTGGCATCTTCTTGCTTTCGATGTTTAACAAAAATGTAAAAATCGTCTTAAAGAGGGGGATGGTGTAACGGGCTATAAGTTACACGGGTCGTTAAGTATCGAATACTTAACGGGCAGGCCTAAAAGGGTACGAGGTACCTTAGGCCTGCACCTTTAATGTGGAACATCAATGTGAGCCACCATCGTGAATGTGATATCCATGGATGGATTCACATTTGAAGAGGATGACGTCAGTTGGGACTGTGCGTCATGGTTATTCTTCAGACAGACGTCACCTGCGAGCTTAGATATATTTTAAGCTCGCACGTAGGGATACGATTCTAAAAAGACGCGTATTCAATCTTTGCATAATTAACCAATCAGCAGTTAATCTTATATCTAGTTTAAAATCTATTATAAAATATGTCAGTCAGTCTTGAATCTACTACTTACCGTCCACTGCGCACGAGAAGCTTTATAAGCTTCTGCGTGACGTAAGTAAGACCTTTGTTGGTTGTTCGTTGCGCGGATCGCTCTAAGCGGGCGGCAACAAATTGGCTCGGCGATTCAAGCGGACGACCAACGCAACCACCACCACACGCGGAGGTAAGACGGTATAACCGCTCTCTCGCGCTGCTTGAAGTTGTGCCCGCGTATAACATGGCAGCTTCTTTACGAAGTGCCCGTCTACACAAAGTAGCTCTAAATTCCCATGTGCACCATCTGGCGTGTTCTGGCCGCCCGGAGCTTATTCCTCATCCGCTGTGTTGCCGTCATGTAGTAGTCCTCTGTATCCGCATAGGGCATCTAGAAGAATCCGAGCCACTGGATCATCATCTGTGCGTCGATCGCTGAAATGGGAGGAAGTTTTTCACTGTCGTCTTCTTCCACATTTGCATCGTCGAGATCCATGAGCAGGTGCTCCTGCATTACCTCGTCGAGGTACTTGGGGCTGTCAATTATGTACTGACACAAAGCAATGCGTCTCTCGTCTGTGCTGAACACCGCGCTGGGGCATGTTTTGGATGTGATTGTGATTGTGCTTCTGTGTGTCAGTTGTGATTCGCGTGTTTGTGTGGTCGTGGTGTGGAACTGGCTTAACTGATAGCCTCCGTTAGCTGATACAATCGTTTAAACCCATGGAAATCAGTTTAGACAGGTTCTACTGCCTATATAATTTGTGAGAAGATTGTGGATAAAAAAAGTGACCATTCCCGTCCAGTATTATCAATAGTAGTAATCATCTATACAGTCTAATTATTTATAGCCAATCATCAAGTATTATTTAGTCGATAGACTATAAGAACAGCCGCCCAAGTAGCATGAGCACAACAGCCAAGGACCTGCCCCGGGGTTGGAAGGAAGTGCAGAGTAAAAGTCGTCCTGATAAAGTGTACTTTCTTCACGTCAAGAGTGGTGAAAAAACCTGGAAGCTCTCGCATGTTCACTCGAAGGAGCGCGAGTTCCGACACCGTCACGCTGACAGAAAAAAAACTCGTCCAAGTGACGACTCTTTTGGTCTTGAAAGTGTTCAGGTGCGTTTAATTGGGTCAATACAATAGGGAGATCACCAATGTATGTATAATTATGATGAAGTGAGGATAATATTAACGCAATGTGACTTTGCAGGCACTGCATATTCTCGTGAAGCACTCAGGATCTAGGAGACCATCGTCTTGGCGACAGGAGACCATCACCCGCAGCAAAGCGGTTGCAGAGACCAAGGCAGGGGGTATTCGTGACAAGTTACTGGCATGTGTAGAGGCTAATATGGAAGTAAGCTGACTGGACATGGGCAGGATTCTTTTTTGTTTGGTTGTTTGCTGATGCCAATTTTGACCCATTTGCAGAAACCATCTGAGGCATTACGTGAGCTTTTTGAAGAAATTGCCAAAGAAGAGAGTGATTGTAGCAGGTGAGATTTATTGTAGTTCGTGTCAATGATGAAGATTGTAGAACTGAAGTGTTTACTATGCAGTGCAAAACGTGGGGGCGACCTGGGACCGTTCACGCGCGGAAAGATGACTCCTTCTTTTGAAAAGGCTGCGTTTGGTCTCAAAATTGGCGAGTTAAGTGACTTGGTGGAGAGCGACAGTGGTATTCATATCATTCTTCGCATTGCATAGCTAAATTCTCAAGCGGGACAGACGCAGATGTGGATAAAGTAAGAATGACTGAGATGCTGTCTCCTATCTGCACTGCCTCAGCCACGTTTTGTCTATATTTAGTCTATCATATTACACCAATTCAGTTGTAAAGCATAATTGCAATCAGTGCGGAACTCCACTCGATTTGAGCTTTGTTCATGACCGAGCAGCCAGCTCGATGTACACTTAGTGCATTATTCTGCTACATCTAAAGGAATGAATATATTATCTGCAAAGCCAAGAAAACTCTAAAGCTCGAATACTTGGGCAAAAACGCTGCCCTCTTCCCTGAAGAGTCCTTCGCAGGTCTGGAATGCTAGCGGGACCTTACCCTTCTCCTTACGCTTCAGCTGCTCGTCGAAAAGGCTCTTGTAAGTGATCGCCGTGTTCGTATCGATATCAACGAATTGATGACGCAACTTTTCCTCAAACATTCGTGCCTTCAATGCAACATCAGCGTTGTAGTGGTACTTCATCGTGTACAACTCCCAGATCGAAGTCTGCAAAGCATTGCACTTGACAGGGTCAAGCTCGTCGCTCACGAATGGATCGTGGCCGTCCTTCAGCATCATTTCCTTCTTTTCGTTGGACAACGCCTTAGCTGCAGCATCAACAGCAGTACCGCTTGATAGCTCTTCTCGGCGCTTAGCGGCTTTTTCTGCTGCGGTTTGAGCACCAGTACGGTGGATGAGCTGCACACATTCCTTGTGGCGCAAAATCAAATTGTAAACAATCGGGATGATAAACAAAATAGCTCCCGGCTCAGCCGTCAGCGCACTGCGCGACAAGCGCTTGGCGAAAGCCGCGACAGTGTAAGCCGGCAAGTGTGTAGACGAGAGGAAGAGGTTCAGCAGACCAAAGAAGCGGTCACGCTGCTTGGCTGCATACAATGATGGATCGTCCAGCAGTGCGTACAGCTTGTTGTAGAAATCAGGCGAGTCGAAGTTATAGTCCTGAATGAGGATGAACAGACTGTTGAGCGCCAAAAGACTCGTTACGCCACCAATGCTGTACGAGTCGGTTATGAAATCTGCAAGCAGTAGCGGATTCAAAAGATGCGGCATGATCTCTTCCGGCATTTGCATCAACACTTTCTTGTACGCAGTCTGCGGCAGTTTATGACGTAGCACAGCTATCCATGCCAGACTGAATGCATATTGGTGCTGTTTCACACTACGCAGGCCTCTATTCTCTTTTGTCTTCTTCGCCTTCGAGTCCGGTTCAGCCTTTCGCTTTGCCCCAGCAGTAGGAAGCGCTTCTTCGTCCTCTCCGTCGCTTGTATCATCATCACTCACGAGTTCCTGCTCTGGCAAATCGGTATCCTTCAGATCAACAAGAAACGACATAATGTCTTCTACATCATACGGCATCTGCACCATTTCTAACAGTTTCAGTGCATTTTTCACCAGCGTCAAGTCCTCGGCCTCATCCTTCTCGACTTTCAAGTGCGCACTGTCTAAAATCTGCGCCAAGTTCTTCAGCTGCTCACACCAATAGTATTTAGTAACCAATCTCATATCTCACATCCCAGCATGAACTCAAAATGACAGGCATACCATATAGTACTGAACATCCATGTAAGCTCCAACGTATTCACCCTTAAAAACACTCGCCAATTCTCCCTTGAGCTTCTTTGTCATTGCCAATTCCTGCACTACCCGCGTAAACGTTTCATTACCAAAAGCAGGTGCGTTTCCTCCTCGAATTGTGTTCTCACAAGACACAAATTCCATCAACGTGCGCAGCGCTCCAACCCGTAAATTGTTGTCTGTTTGTGCATCCCCTAGCCACTGCAGCATCTCCTTTAGAAAATTAATGTAAATGTCCCAAAGCCAGCGATGAAACTTGTCAATAGCCTGTATCTCTCCTTCTTTCTTCTTCTTGGCTGTCTCCTGCTTCATTGCCTTGAGTTGCAAATCACCCTTTTCCAGGAAAAACAATAGTACTCGTCGCATACTTTGCATGGCTGCTTGGGCCACGGCCTTGTCTTTATGTTGCAATGCATTTACCACCTTCGGCAACGCATTAATCTGCTTGACATTCTCTTTGATCTTGGCCTCCAGCTGCTTAATCTCCGCTACACTTGACATGGTCATTACTCCTTTAGTTTGTATGAAGTGACTGGATGAGAGTTGTGGGAGCCAGTACACGATGATTGGTCAAAAGAAGCTTGGATTATATCCAATCATTACCGATTACCTGGATATAATAGTAGTTTTTATTTTATCTGAAAAAAAGTCTTTGCCATACCAATTTTTCTACTATTAATTAGATTGTCTTATTTTCATGGAGCTCTCCGATGAGCGTGAGAATGACTATCTGCGCTTCCTGCGTGGTATGCGGCCAGATGATGCTAATATTCAGACTTGTATGCGCTAGTGCTAATCTACACGCTTTTCGTTATCGGCTAATTCATTAAATTGGTAGTTAGCGTGGAGGGATATTATCTAATAATTCTTGTTGTTATTCTATTTTATCCTTTATTTAATACAGCGGACCAATCGTCCGAATTGGATTTTCGCACGTCATTCGTAGAATCTGATGAACTGCCCGAGATTGACCATGATGGAGCTGAATTTGCCAGGATGTTGTTGGCTCAGGCTGAACAGGAACAGAAGGAATCGGAAACAGAGGAGGCTTCTATTGTAGTGACTGGGATGCTGCCATTATCTTCTGCACGTGTAGTAGTAGAGGATGATTACACCAGTCGAGATACCGAGATAATAACTTTAGCAGACGACATGGCCGTCCCGATCGCGTCTAAGGACCGCTGCCGATACTACAACAAAGGACGTACGAGATGTAAACGAGCTGCTACAGGATTGGACGGACGTTGCACGATTCACAAGCTCAGTCAGTTTTGCAAACACCCTAAATGCAGCAAGTTTAACCAGGGAGTTGGCTATTGCATTAAGCACGGTGGTGGCAAAAAGTGCAAGCAGGATGGCTGCGATAAACAGGTTCAGGGATACGGCTTTTGCTCGGGTCATGGTGGAAAGCCTTTGTGTCCTATTGAAAGCTGTGAGAACAAGAGGATGGAAGGAGGGTGAGTAGATTTGGGGTTAGAGAATATATGTGACTACTGTGCTGTTACGAAAAGGCTAATTATATTAACGCTTATGTGTCTTTCTTGATTGACACAGATATTGCAAAGCACACGGCGGCGGTAGATTCTGTCAGCACGAAGGATGCAAGAAACGAGATATCGGTGGTGGCCGATGTATTTCGCACGGCGGTGGCAAGAAATGTCAGGCAAAGGATTGCACAAAAGTAGACCGAGGTGGTGGTTTTTGCAAGGCCCATGGCGGTGGTAAGAAATGCGAAGTTGATGACTGCAAGAATTGGGCACTTGGTGGGGGCATTTGCCTGAAGCATAAAGGCCCAGGCAAGCGTTGCAAAACGCTTGGATGCACGAAATACGACCTGGGAGGAGGGCACTGCATCGCCCATGGCGGTGGACGCAAGTGTATTGTGGAAGGCTGCGATAAGATTCGTCAGGTAAACAAACGCTGTCGTGGCCATGGCGGCAAGGTTTTGTGCAGCGTGCCCAATTGTGACCGTGCAGCGCAGAACCGCAAACTCTGCAAAGGTCATGGAGGGGGGAAACTATGTCAACACGAGGGGTGCACCAACAAGCAAAAAGGCAAAGGACTTTGTATTCGTCACGGAGGTGGTACGAAATGCAAAGAGAATAACTGCAGTGCAATAGACCGAGGTGGAGGCTATTGCAAGGGCCACGGTGGCGGGAAAAAGTGCTCGTTTGCGTACTGCAACAAGTGGGTCGTTGGCGGTGGTATTTGCGAGGATCACATGGAACTGGAGCTTTCCCATCAGCCCGAAGACATGTCTCGTATTGCAGCAAACTTATATTTAACCAGCGAGTCCGTCGCAACAATCTAAACAAGAGACAACGTAATCAATCCATCCTTTGTTTTCGGCCTCGTCTCGCATAATGTAGCCATGTATTTATTATATATTACTCGGTATCATGCTACGTACCTGGCTGTTGCTAGCGCTGAGCACGTGTCTTTACGTCCCAATCTCTGCCTATGACCATCGATCGTCGGGTCCGATCAACTACAGGACGTACGCTGCAATGACCAAGTACTTATTGGAGCTCAATGCAACATTTCCAGACGTTGTGCAGGTGTCAGTGGTTCAAGAAATGTACAATCTGTCGTATCCTGAAGAGCTTCAGTGCATTGTGGACGATGAGACGAAACAGGACAGAAACAGTTCTTGGTACATTTGACCAATCACTCGACAGTGGTAAATGATCCCGAGAGACCTGAAGTGTTTATCAGTGGAGCGCTGCACGGCGACGAACGCGTTGGCCCCAATGCAGCCATTGAGCTTGTTGCATTAGTTGCATATGCCACGTCCATATACGGAACAAACACGACAAAACCTATGGTGGACACGCAGCGCTGGTTAAAGGAGCTAGTGAACACTCGAAACGTGCTCGTGGTGCCAATGACGAACGCTTACGGCTATTCGCACAACCGTCGCGAGGAATTGAATGTGGACCCGAATCGAGATTACAACTATATGAAGTCTGGCGTGGATTGCATGCAGACGATGACGTCTCGTGTCGTCAATGAGATTTGGAGAGATCATATTTTCCAATTGGCAGTGACGTTTCACGGTGGAACTCGAGCAGTAGCGTATGAATGGGGCTCGCCGGATCATTATCTACATGGTGACACGAACACTAAAAGTGAGAAATCCCCTGATCACATGGCCCAGTTCCAGATTGGTAACACACTGGCTAACTTTGCAGGCATCTTTCCTGATGGAAAACTATATCCGACAGGAACAATGAACGACATTGTGTATGGCGTCACGGGTGGCATGGAAGACTGGGGCTATGCTGCCTCGTGGGAGAATCAGTTTTACGATGAAAAATCGCAGCCTTTCAATCCATGTGAGCCGACAACGTTTGGAGGATATCCGAAGGAGAAGACAATCTACAATAACATTACCAACCGCGCTTTCAATATGCTGGTAGAGACTTCCAATAGCAAGGAGCCTGAAGCAGCCGACTTGGGAAACTATAAGGAGTTGTATAAAGCAAACGTCGACTTTTTCCGGACTGAAAAAGTCACGACGAAGTTTGTAGGACACGTACCGCGGAATGTCCGCCTGGCGCTCATGATGGTTGAGATGGTGCAGCCTTTATTGCGCTGGGTGGATGCTACGGAGTTGTCCGCGACGCGCACCCAACAAGTGTCGAGTTTCTTTCCTCCAGCGAGCTTATACAAGATAAGCACCGACTCAGTAACTGAGATGGGTTGTGGAACCCTAGCGTGGGAGCGCAATGAAGTTGCAACGTGTAATGCCACCAACTGCAGTGTGACCGGCGCAACGTATTCCATGCTGCAGATAGCTTGGGAGGTACTTGGCGCGCTTACTGTGGACAGCACTTATGTCCAGGTATCTTCCAGCCCAGCATTCGAAGATGACACCATTTTGATGGAGACCACAATTCAAAAGGGCACTACCCGGCGGTTTTATGAATTTGCATCCGAATCGTCGCAGGCTGCGGCTCCAGACACGATGGAAACATCACTATTCATCACGTGTTTGGACTTGAGTAATGTCACGTCGGACAAGACCTACATTCGAGCTGTTGCAACTGTCGACCAAGTTAGGCCACTGCAATTATTATATTTGTGTACCTTGATTGGAACTAAAGCCTGTTACGTTGTGCTCTAGGACTGGAAAAACAAGGGCAACGGTGACGATTCACCCTCACCCCGCGTGCCGCCACAGTCGCATTTGGTGAATGCTCGTACGAACCCAGATTGGAAATTTGAATGGAATGGTCACCGAGTGAAGTCTACGCTCGAGTGGACATCTCCGGTACGTTTAGTATGCTGTCCGAGCTTGTTGATCAAGATACTGACGTGTAAATGACTTGAACCCTAGGTTATCACTGTCGATATTGCAACGAAATTGCAACCAGATGAGTCATGGTCAGAAGCGTCGGCTGACTTGTCTCCATCACTGACATCATCATCATTATCTGTTGCTCAAAACGAGTCATCTCATACTGACAGCGAGGATAGCAAGGACAGCGATGATCTACCGAATACTGGCAAAGACCATGCAATGGAATCACCAGATGAAGACGATGAAGATGAAAAAGACTCAAGCGATGAAGCTTCCAACCCGACGACTAATGCTAATGTCAAGACTCATGATGAAGATGGAAGTGAACCCTACAACGAAGAAAGCAAAGATAGTGAAGACAGCAGGAAAACCGACGATGACGATGACGATCTGGACGCAGCATTAAAGTCTTCTTCTTCGGTCATTACTCCAGACATCACTGCGACAGGATTGAGTTCGGTGAACAAGGACACGCCATCTTCATTGCTTCAATTTGGATACGTCATCATGAGCTTCTGCGCTATGATCATTGTGGTCACTCTCGCGTATCTCTATCGACGTGTGTTTCAACGTGCTCGTCAGCCGTACGTCAACATTGAGCAAACGTCCCGCGCTACAATCAACAGCATTGACGAACAAGACGATGAAGTGGATGATGATGATGAAAGTGATGAGAATGAAGAAGGCCCACGGATCTCTCGTCATGCCCAGTCCTCGCGAAGTGTCATGTAGCACCTCGTCACAGATTGTCTTAGCGTCGTCTCAATTATGTGCACCACACACCATTTTTCATTCTCCATTCGCTTTTGGTCAAGATGAACGACGCCAGCATGCCTCAATGCACATCCACCGTGCGTCTCCATGAGGTATTTTCCATCCATGCAACCACTGCATTTATCTTGAATCATGTCGTCTCTTGTTGTTCTCAATTTTTCAGCTCTCAAGTCTTTTCAGAAGCTTCAGTATGTACACTTATCTAATGGCATCTCTATGACGGTTTAGATGCTGCTCGATGGAACACTTGGAGAGCATGAAGACCGTGCGTTGATGTCTGATCGTCGACTCAATGGAAAGTATCGAGGACTGAGGTCCTGTGATAAGGCATTTAATGCCATATTAAACATGAAGACGCCTAATATCAATTCAGCAGACTCTTCTGATACAGACGCCAAGCCACCGCAGGTACTCTACGCCGAGTATTTGGACTGTGTCAGTGGAATGCTATGTGAAAAGTCGTATCATGAGTGGGGAACATGCGTTGAATTAGTGCAGAAACAACAGCAGGATATCAGACACTGTGCACGACCTAAGAGAATGCTGGAGCGCTGTCTGCGTGGAGAGACGGAGAAGCTACTCAGGGCCTCGCAGCCGCAAGTCTTTCGACCGAACGGTTCCATATAGAACTCATTGCCAAGTCCAAAGCAACATGCATCTCTCGATAAGAAAAACACACAGGCTTGCTTTCATTTGTAGCTGTTCTTCGAGTTTTTTTGGCACCTCTGCATTTACGAAGCTGACAGGGATAGAGTCGAGCAGGAGGCCATTGTCTGCAACCCCAGCAGTCACGCCTACCTTTCGCGGAAAGTTTCTAAACAATTTCGTACGAGTCCGTAGAGAGCAGCTTCTCGAACCCAAACACAATCGGCGAGCCATCTTCAATCTTTTCAACGGTCTCCACCTGCACATCGCTATACACGCTGCGCGAAAAGAACGAGACGGAAATAGGGAAGAACGCATCAATGTTGTTGCCACCAATCGAGAACTCCAGCGTGCCCGAGTTGTTACTAAAGGAATAAAGATATAAGTTAATGAGTCACGACATGCACGCGTATGGCACAGTAAACGACAAGGTACGTACGCAGGTGTAATTTGATCCTGATGCCAAAGGAGCGACCCTTCAGCCGAGTTGTGCTGATACTGTCCATCGACATTGGCGACACTCGGCGCGTCGGAGCCTCCGAGTGGAATTACAATGTTCACATTATCCAGCACCATGTCACGGTCCAATGAGTACTCGACACTCACATTAATTTTGCCGTTGCCTTCCTCCTCGGGCCAGCATGTAATGTTTAAAGGTACCATTGACTCGTCTTGTGTCTTCAAGCTCCATCGCAGGAATGCCACGCGGGAAGTAGGGAACGGCTTCGACGAATCCCGCAAAGCTAGAACTGATTCACTGTCATAAAGCTTTTTGTCCACCTTAGGGTGCGTCTGGAAAGAAATGCCCTCCACGCCACCTGTTCGTAACTTAAGGCGGCAGCAGCCAGCGCTTGGGTCGTTCACCGACACGCACATACTTCCCTTAACTTCTAGCTGCTCAGGTGCACCATCGCGGGTCAGCACCACTGTCATCTTTTCTTCGACCACAACACCAATCGGGTCGTGGCTGACCGCAACAGCCACCTCAGGTTTCTGCACGATCTCAACAGCTGCACTCATCGGCGGAATCTCCTTCAATCCATCTTCAGCTGCCATGGCATCCATAAACGACTTGCCGCCGCTACCCAAACCCATGCCCTTGCTACTACCAGAACTTCCCAGCTTCATACCCCCAGCTTTTGACATTATAGGCTCCGGGCGGCTGTTATATGAAGTTGGTGACGTCGCAACTGATGAAGGGCTGTTCATAAAGTTGTCACTGCTGCCACCGCTACGTGGTGATTTAAACGCGTTGCTAAAAGAACTGCCAAATGAGCTTTTGGATCCAAATCCACTGCCACCCAAGCCTGCGCGCTCCATTCTTGCTCGTTCACGTTGTTCCTCCTTGATCCGCGCCGTGTGGCGCTTCATGTCGTCCTTAGCTGCTGCGCGCTTGCTTTCAAGAATCATATTGTGCAACTTCTCCTCATGACTCTCCATTTCCATATTGATGCGAATTTGCTGCACATTGATGTTTTCCGAGTGGCCACCAGCCGTAATGAGTTCATCAAAGCCAAAAATCAGCTCAAACTGTTTGTCACGAATCGAAGTATCGCTCAGTGGTGCACAAATGTCCGGTACGAGCTTAGCCAGCAACTGAATCGTATGCAGATCTTCCACAATGTTGCTCGTCTTGTTGGTAATAATGAGCACGAAGAAGCTCTCGAGAGGTTGATACACATAGCGGACACTCTCCGTATCAATGAACGTGTGCTCACGTGAGCCACTCGACAAGAGCTTTGGAAACGCTGCCAGCAAACCCTACATAAACCCAATGACCCAACATATCACTAAATAAAAAGAACCCGCAATAAGTAAAGCATTATCCACCCACTTCTAGACGGATCCGGGTGATTTCCACAAACTGACGTGCTACAAGCACTACAGACATAATTCAAGCAATTGTGTGAGTGATTAATATCTAATAAGATACATCGAATGTAATAGAAAGTGTCACAAGTCGCGTATCATACGGTACCTTTGCCATTTCGAGTCAATAAGGAGGCCGAAAGCACCACCTATTCATTATTTCGAGACACATTACGACGTCAATAGAGTGAGTTAGAGAGTAAGAAAAGATAGAATCGATAGACAAGATACTAGAGTATAGAGATATGGATGAAACACGGCAGGTGCTGCAGGGATAAACAGAGAAACACTTCATAGACGTAGATACATACCATTTTCGTACGACAAATCCTTTTAGTACGGCTCCCTCTATACGTGGAGCTTTAGAGAATAACTCTATTTTGTCCAATCCAACCGTTGCATATGTGAAAAAGACATTGGTGGAAATAGACTTTGTTTTGCACCAATCATGGAGTGAAATAAGTAAAAAGTGATGGAATCAGTCTGTTCTCATCTCAATAGAGGCCGTATAATATAGTAAAATTTAAGAAAATATTTGCATATAAAAACACGTACAGAGTTGCATTCCATCATAGTTATCGCTACTAAATAGCTACTTTTCTGCTGTATCCATTGGAGGAGCAATCTTCTTGGCATAAAATTCGTTGAAATCGAAGCGAGACATGAGAAACGATAGGCTTTGGGATCCACTAGACACAAGTCACACATGTCCACAATGAGAATATAAACACGACATCGTATTCAAGGCAACAAAGTTGTTTCCTACCGCATTGAATTGTGCTTGACAATGTCAAGAAGTTTCAAAAACTGATGGCTGAATTCATCTGACATTTCTTCAATCTGACGAAAGATTTTCGAGTTGGAACCAAATGCATCTCGATCTTTTCGCTTATCATAGACTTCTTCTTCTTGTATTCCCCATGAACACTGCGCATAAGGAGCAAAACAAATAAACATGGAACACATCAATGAGTACACAAAAGACATGTACCTTAATGCTGCACTGCGAACGTACATCTAGCTCCTGGTGCTGCATAACTTCTTGACGTCTCTCTTCTACGTGTTTCTCGTGCATCGCAGTCGTATATAAATTCTTCTGCGCCTTGCAAAACCTGATGATTGTTGCGAAGATGAGCTTTAGCTGTGTCAAAATTTCTCTTGACTCTTTCATCAGGAAACCCTGAGAATGGAATACGTATCAGTATCTTCAACTTCTCATCATCCACATCATTAACAAATGTTATGCTCTTACATTTCTTTTGATGGAGATAATGTATGCTGCATGGCTTTCAATGAGTCCGTCCAAGTCCTTTGCAGCATTTAAATCCTTCACTAGTTTATGCCACGCTGTTTCTAAAACCTAGAAAAGGCAAACACAAAGTCAGTGGGCCGCATTGTGTCCAAATGAATCCGCAACATCATACCTCAAACATGATGTAGTTGAGGAGGTTGGTTATAAAGTGGATCATCTCAGACCGTACAAGCTGACTCCTATGCAAGACCGGTTTAATTCCTGGCACACATCCCTGGAACAGCCAGAAACAGCAAAGATAAGTACACACCAGCAATTTCGAAATGCCGGTGAGCATACCTGAACCTCATGTCCAAGATTCATATCCTTTGTCCATGACGCAGACAGCGAGTGCTCTACGCGCTTCATTCGCCATAAAAAGTCAAAGATTTGCTGGTACTGGAGCATCGAAGATGCGGGAATGACACTGTTCACGGGTGCTTGCAAGTTGTAGTGCAAGCAAAAAATATCCCATCCGGTATCGCCTGCAAGAGAGCAAAATGAGCACAAAATCATCCGAGTTACCATACGTCTTGACTATTGACATACAAGATTGGTCATTTACCCGAGGATCCTTGCAACAGCTCAACATCTAGGCGCCCTAGGATATCCGCCGACTAACAAGCACACAAGTGAGGACACCGGTCTGAGTACAATCCATAGTGAACCGGCAACTTGTGAGTACGAACCTCAAACTTCGCATTGGAAGCGTTTAGTGCTGTCTCCAGCACGTTTGTAAGCGTATGGCGATACACTTGTGAGCCTCGTTTCGATAACTCAGGACCTAGAAGGTCCATCAGATATTGAATAAAGTCACCCTGTAAACAAACTAACACGTTAGAAGATACAACAAACAATTGAATTGATCCGGGTACCCAAGCCACTTCATACCTGCCCTAGCAACAAATAGCGCTTAAGTGCTTGGCAATGATCGAGAAGTCGGTATTTTTCCATCAGTGTGCGAATCAGATACTCATTTGTAGAGTTTGATACATTCCCAATCACTTTTTCAAGGCACTTCAGCTCCGCAAAATTAAATCCTTCACCGTCACTTTCCATTCGATTCACAGCAGTCTCTTGTGCAGCGTCCATGACCCACTACGTTTGTTCAGCATAGCTGATCAGTAAGTGTGACACGATAGTGTAAAAGCGTTGTATACTTTACATACATCAGCATTTCCACAGCATTGACGAATAAAGTTGATACTTTTTCCAATGACCAAAATTCTTTTCGCGAGTTCACTTTCGCCACAACAAAGCATACACGGTCAATCTGATAGCCACTCAAGAATCGCAAGCAAGCTTAATACGTACATCGAGATGAATGTTGGTAGCATTTTCGAGTTAACGGTGTATTTCTTTGCCCAGAATTGGTCGTCACTCACAGTTGGGTCTGCCACCACAAAAAACTCACCCTATGCAGCGATAGAAGCATATCATTTTAATCATACAACGTCGCACAAAAGTACAAGCTCCGCGTACATGCACGTCTTCCAACTCTCCTTCAAAAACCCAGCGCTTAATCATTCGAACAATCGGAGCAGCTATTTGTCTAAGCACAGCTTGAACAGATTCTGACACATCTGGATCACCGTGTAATACATGCGAGTGAATGCCGGACGCAAGTGCACCACCTCGAAGTCCTTCGACACTACAGCAACGCCGCATACAGTATCAGCAAGATTCTTTTTCCCGATTGCTGAAAACTGCCGCGAAATAAAGACTCTACCTGTCGATAAGACGAGCCATTAATCGCATCTTGTCAAGTGGATCCTGTGTCCACACGATCAGCGTTCGCAAGGTTAGGCTGCTTGTCACTCGTTCACTTGGCCTTCTAGTTTCCGCATCTTCGTCGATTTGAGCTGCCAGAATGGCAATTAGGCGATAATAAGCGACCAGCTCGGTGTTTAGCACATGACAAAAGCTTTGACCCACCTACAAGTAGTCCAATCACATAACCCAACTAGTAAGTTGCTGTCTGCATTCACCATTTCAGCTAGCAGCCAAAACTCACCAAGCCAAAGGCCAGCTCTTCGCGATGTTGCTTGATGTACTCTGAAACTTTGCGGTACAGCCAACCTAGGTCGCACAGCATGCGAATTAGTTTGCGCATGGCTGGTTTGTGAAAGCAGCATAAGCGTGAGTTTTTCGATCATCCAGTTTCAACAAGTACATATTGCCCACTAACGTTTTGGAACACCCACGCTTTTCGTAATCTGAAAACGGTCAGCTGCGTCGTCAAAGTACAGGTAGCGCGATTCGATTCCTTGCAAAGCGTATATGACATCGCGCAGAATAACTTCCTCGGGTACGTTAAACGATGAGCGTTTTGCCGTGTTGCTGGGAAGACTCATATCACCTGACACAGCTGTACCCGTATGTGCTATAGAATGCGTACGAGGGCTGTTGCCTTTCCCTCTTTTTATATTGTGAGTTGGAACAATCCCGACTGCCACTTTGAACGAGTCTTCCAGCGACTCTAGGTCAGTATCTGATTGCCTTATTGAGGATACAGGTGTGGCATTTAGTCCTGGAAAATTCAAGGACGTTGCCGGCATTGACTGAAACCGATGGCGTTGTCCCTGGTCGATTAAACTTTCCGATCCCGATCTACTCCGACAAGAAATCGACCCTGTTGTTTTGTCCACTGCATAGTCTGGGCACTGCTCGACGTTCTTTCTGTACTGCAGCGATGGAGCAGAATCCATTAAGCCATACATCAACAAGAGCGCCTCTCTAAAAACCAACACAAACACTGACATTAGTATAAAGCAGTGAATAAAGTCCCGTACGTACAACAAAAAAAGGATTTACGTCTTTTTGTCCAGATTTTTAAACTTGACAAAGCGAGAATAGACCTCGTTTAATCTCGTCATCGTCTCGTGAGAATTGTCATAGAATTGTTGCGAGTCCGTCGTGATCTTCCGCTTGATCTTTTCAAGTACAGCAAACTACAGAGCAAACAAAATGTCCATTTTCATCCAATCAGCATGCATTTGTTTTTGCACTACCAGCACGTACGGCGTCTGTCTCTGGAGCGATAGATATCGCATCTTGCAGCCGAACGACCGTACGACGTGTAGTCCCAGCAGACGAAGCGCCGTGTATTTTAGCCAATAGCTTTTCCACAAGCACATGAATATCTCGTGGTGTCTTGAAGCTTGAGCTTTGATCCGAAGTCATGGAAGTGAATAGAGACGTTTGATTGGGTGACGGTCGTTGGCAATTGACGTTGCTGGAGAGAATAGAAGAATGAGCGGAAGAGATGGTATTGATGGAAACATCATGGACGAGTTTGCTACTTGTGCCGCTAGTTTGGCCGATTGAGCTACGAGAGGGTGGACCGAGACGCTCAGCACGGCGCTTTAAGCGCGCAGTTTGACGTTCCGAGTTCATTTGTTAGGAAAGCAATGTCATTAAGAAGGGGCTGATGGACCCCGTGTTTGTGACTACTGTGAACAGCTATTGATGCGTGAGGGATCCCGATTAATTGGTCGTTTTAGCAGATATAGTAGTTTAGTAGTATTTTTACGGAATAGTATTACCAAATTAGCTTCAATATAATTGTGAGAGCTGCGAGATATATTACTAGCACTGAATCGCTTCACCAATAAGTATCTTAGCTAATGTATACTGTGATATTATTGACGATATATTTGACACCCGTAAAGCTAAGGGTCTTGACATAAAACGTAGACGCACACAAATGGGAAAGCGCTATATCATTGCCCAGCCTGCAAAAAGCTGCCTGCGCCATATCCATAGTTGTCAAAAAAGACATTGCGTTCCTCTGGCTCAAAGTAGTAAGGATGTATGTTACGCCTGTTTCTTCTTGATACATCGATGTCTTATTCAGAAAGATACCCAACTATGTGATTTGGTAATTGATTAGGATGGATACTTAGATTGCCACTTTAAGTATCGCATAATGTAGAAATTAATATACTAAGAATGTATTCTCTACTCGCGCAGAATGCTATTTTGGAGGACTCTATAGACACATTTGCATGGTCCGCCGGTGTAGCACGAGAATGTGCTTGACGCGTTCAGTCTCCATAAAACACATGTGTGTATACCCTCTAGATCGACTCCGGCTCCTATCGGTTTTGTATGAATAGACAGGACACTACGCAATTTACAATTTGCACGCATTTGTAAAATATTTCAAGCTTTGAAAGACAAACATAATTTTGTAAGTTTGGGGCATTAAGTACGTTTTTGCTAACGATCGGTAGATATCGATGCACTTGTATAGGAAGTTTAGTATTTATAAAGCTGTGACGTTTCAAGAGCATTTTTAATAAAAGTTGGGGTGCGTGATAAATAGCATAAAAATAATGACGTCTCCCTTTAATTATAATTATTAACAAAATCACACATACGTAATTAAATTTCGTTTAGAAATTTATACACTACTTATAGAAGTACCATGTATACTATTCCAATATCCCTCGTACTTACCTGAATACTCAATCTGCTGGTTGACGTCAATCTACAAGTCGCCCACCGACTCATGACGATGGAAAACGTAACGAGTAAAATGGACGAAATGCAATTGAAAGAAAATGTTTATCAACCTGGAAAGAAAATGGTTCGTCGTGATCATTTAATTGACATGGAGCATGAAATAATTGCGAAATGGGATGCCGTCAAACTCTTTGAATCAAATCCTGACTCTAGTAAACCCAAATACATGGCTACATTTCCATATCCGTACATGAATGGCTACTTACACGTCGGCCATTTGTTTACGTTGATGAAAGTGGAATTTGCAACACGTTATCATCGTCTCAAGGGTGAAAATGTCATTTTTCCCTTTAGTTTTCATTGTACTGGAATGCCGATCCAAGCTGCTGCTAATAAACTCAAACGTGAGCTTGAGATATACGGGAATCCGCCCAAGTTTGTACGTGATGAAGATGAAGAGCCGAAAACGGTTGCAAAAAGTGCTGAAAGTTCATTGAACAAAGCTCATGGTAAAAAATCCAAAGCGGCTGCTAAAACGGGTGGAGTCATGCATCAATACGATATTCTCAAGATTTCAAATATTCCCGAGGAAGAGATTTCTAAATTTCATGAACCTCTTTACTGGCTTCAATACTTTCCACCTCATGCCATTGCTGACCTTAAACGCTTTGGCATGAACATTGATTGGCGTCGCTCGTTCATCACAACGGACATTAATCCTTTCTATGACGCCTTTGTCACGTGGCAGCTCAATAAACTCAATGAAAATGGTCGCATTGTACGTGGTAAACGTCCTAATGTCTACTCGATCTTGGACGGACAGAGCTGTGCCGACCACGACCGTGCTTCGGGTGAAGGCGTCGGTCCTCAGGAATACATGCTTGCCAAGCTGCGAGTACAGGAGCCGTTGCCGGAGAAATTGTCTGTGCTTGCAGGAAAGAAGGTGTACCTTGCTGCTGCTACGCTGCGTCCTGAGACGCTGTATGGACAAACTAACTGTTTTGTACTGCCTGAGGGAAATTATGGCGCTTTCCTTATGAACGACGACAATGATGTGTACGTGATGAGTCGCCGAGCGGCACGTAATCTGGCTCACCAGGAGTACTCGCGTGTTTGGGGTAAGGAGGAGTGTCTGCTCGAGATGAAGGGCTGGGACCTGCTAGGTCTGCCGCTGACGGCGCCTAAAGCGCCTTACGATACAATCTACACGTTGCCGCTGCTTACCATCTCGATGGGTAAGGGTACGGGAGTGGTCATGAGTGTACCGTCCGACTCGCCGGATGACTTCGCCGCGTTCCGTGACCTGAAGCAAAAGCCTGCTTTGCGGGAGAAGTACGGCATTGAAAACCACATGGTATTGCCGTTTGAGCCTGTGCCCATTATCAATATCCCAGGCTTCGGTAACATGGCCGCTGAGAAGGTTTGCAATGACCTTAAGATCGTGTCGCAGAACGACAAGGACAAGCTGGCCAAGGCCAAGGAGCTTGTGTACCTGAAGGGTTACTACGAGGGTATCCTCATGGTAGGCTCGCAGAAGGGTGAGAAGGTGTGCGACGCTAAGGCCATCTTGCGCCAGGAATTGCTTGACGCTGGCGACGGTATTCTGTACTGGGAGCCGGAGTCTCTCGTGATGTCGCGGAGTGGTGACGAATGCGTGGTTGCTCACCTAGACCAGTGGTATTTGACCTACGGCGCTGAAGATTGGAAGAAGCGCGTCATGGACCACATTAGCGATCCGGAGTCTTTTGATGCATACAACCCGGTGGCACTTGGTGAATACAAGTCCACCCTTGGATGGCTGAAGGAGTGGGCACCGTGCCGTCAGTCCGGCCTGGGGACGCGTCTTCCGTGGGACCCCGAGTTTGTGGTGGAGTCGTTGACGGACTCGACCATTTACATGGCATACTACACCATCGCGCACCACCTGCAGGCTAACCTCGATGGCTCGAAGCTAGGCCCACATGGCATAAAGCCCGAGCAGATGACTAAGGAAGTATTTGATTACATCTTCTTGAAGGCCTCGCCACCTACGGAGTCCACGATCCCGCTGGATGTACTGAAGCAGATCCGCGATGAATTTGAGTATTGGTACCCTGTTGATGTTCGCGCGTCTGGTAAGGATCTGATTCGCAACCACTTGACAATGTGCCTGTACAATCACGTCGAAATCTGGCGTGATGACCCGTCCAAGTGGCCGCGTGGCTTCTTTACGAATGGTCACGTGCAGGTGGACGGTAAGAAGATGTCCAAGTCCATGGGTAACTTTCTTACGCTTAAGGACTGCGCCGCTGAGTTCGGTGCTGATGCCACTCGTTTTGCTTGCGCCGATGCTGGCGATGGTATGGACGATGCTAACTACGCCCTGGACACGTGCCGCATGGCAATTCTGCGACTCACTACTGAGGAGGAGTGGATTAAGCGCATTGTCGAGGACAAGGCGTCGCTACGCACTGGCGAGCTTAACCTTAACGACAAAGTGTTCTTGAACCAGATGAACAGCCTGATCAGTACGACGGCGTCGTTTTATGAGCGTCTTCAGTGGCGCGAGGGTCTTCACTCGGGCTTCTTCGAATACCAGATCGCTCGCGACTCGTACCGTGATATCTGTGTCCGTGGCGAAGTGCCGATGCACCATGACGTAATTATGCGTTTTATCGAGTCTCAACTCGTCATGTTTTCGCCCATCTGTCCGCATTTCTGTGAGTACATGTGGACTGCTATTGGCAAGGAAGGCTTCGTGTCAGTGGCTCCTTGGCCCGTAACCGAGGAGGTCGACCTCGCGCTTTTGCGCGCAGGTGATTTCCTGAACAAGATTGCCCGTAGTTTCCGCGAGGCGCTTGCGAAAAAGAGCAGCAACAAGAAGAAAGGCAAGAAGGAAGCTGTCCCGACCGAACCAGCTAAGAAGCCTACACACGCGCAAGTGTACCTGAGTACGGCGTTTCCGGAGTGGCAGCAGAAGGTGCTACTGTTCATGGACGGCGTGTTTGATGACGCAACGAAGGAGTTCCCTGCCGACTTTATGAAGCAGCTCAAGGGTGAAATCACCAAGGACGATTCGCTGAAGAAGCTTACGAAGAACGTGATGCAATTCGCTGCGTTTGTGAAAGCGGAGGCTGAGCTGCGCGGCCGCGAGGCGCTGGAACTGAGGTATGTGGTGAATAGTATTGTACTCGCGTGTGCTTTACTGACGTTATTGTTCTATGATGTCAACACAGGATGCCGTACGACCAAAAGAGCGTGCTTGCCTCTAACAAGCTGTACCTTTGCCGGTCGCTGGACCTCCAGGACATTGACGTAGGATCCTCAAGCGATGTGAAAGCGTCGAGTATGTTTCTTTACGTATTTACGATATCGTGTATATGTTTGTTTCATTGCAGTTTTACTACGTGAGCGAGGAGATCCCGAACGGAGATGCCAAGAAGATGGAGACGGCGTCCCCGGGCAAGCCTGCAATCTACGCCTATGCTCAGTAAGCCTGTTGCTGTAGCCTGTTGCTGTAGTAGATTATTTTACCGCAGGTTGCATTCGATGATGGTCTTGAGAGCATCATGTTTGCATACTTTCCATCTCGTGCTAGATAGGCAGTGTGCAAGAGTCATACACGTATTTTGCATATGCTTTTCTTTTAGCACTTTGTTCTCGGCAGGCAAAGTCAAACAAGAAAACGAAATGCATGAGACTGGATTCACAAAATAACTCGCTCTTTCGTCTCCACCTGATCATTTCCTTACTTTCTTTCCTCCTCGATGACTATCTCTTCTTTCAGGCAACTCGAGGCGAACAGGACGAGGCATGTATCTATTCAGAGTCCGCAATCTCGATCCGGCTACCACGGCGGATCTGGCCCCAACCAATAAGGCGCCAATGCTTGTCAATCCGACGACTAATGGCGATTTTCTCTCCTTCCTGCGTGCATACAGGGACCGTGAGCAGTATCTTGGCAAGATCCTGCTTCACAGCCAGCACCTTTCCACCAGTGGCCGTGGAACCAATGTTGACCATGAGCACCTCAGCCTTCGACAGCTTCTGCACCTTCGAGGCCTTGCTGCCCTCCTGGGTCTTCACACCCAGTAGACGCTTTAGCAGATAAAAGTTAATTTCCAGCTCCGTAAATACGTGAGGCAGACTCCCCTTCAAGCCCAGCACCTGACCCACCAGACGATCCGAACGCGTGAGCGTCGGATCAATGTGCGTTCCTACACCAATCAGTCCACCGGGTACGGCAAACTGCAGGTCGTTCTTCTCAGCATACAGCGACACAATGCGCGAGAAAATAGGGACGCAAGTCATCTTGCCTTCCTCGTCCTTGCTGACAATGCCGGGGCGTACCTCAATCTCATCGCCAACACGCAGCACACCCTCCAGTATAGAGCCTCCTGCGACGCCACCCTTGAGGTTCTCCACGTCCTCACCAGGTTTATTCACATCGAATGAACGGATGACAATCAGCTTGGGTCTTGAGGTAAAGTCTCGCTTTGGGATGGGAATGTTGCGACAAATGTACTCGCAAACCACATCCACATTGTACTTGAGCACGGCCGAAATAGGGATAATTGGGGCGTCGTGAGCAACCGTACCAGCCACAAACTTCTTGATCTGTTCGTGCTGAGCCACAGCAGCATCCTCCTTAATCAAATCTACCTTGTTCTGCAAAATAATGATATTCTGCAAGCGCATGATCTCAATAGCGGCAAGATGCTCGGACGTCTGTGGCTGGGGACACACTTCGTTACCTGCAACAAGCAGCAGGGCGGCATCCATGACAGCGGCACCGTTCAACATCGTAGCCATAAGAATGTCGTGACCAGGGCAATCCACAAATGACACATGACGCTGCAGCACCCACACCGTCTTCTCGTCGTTCTCGTCAGTAAAGCGGTCAGGTTTCGAGCTACCGAATGCACGATAGCAGCCAATACCTGCACCGTTTTCGGCACGATAGATCTTGGCATTGGCATAGCCGAGCTTGATGGTGATGTTTCGCTCCAACTCGTTTTTAAACCGCACCGTCTGGACACCTGAGATGGCCTTGACGACCGTCGACTTACCGTGAGCAACATGACCAATAGTTCCAATGTTGATTGTGGCCTAGAAACACAATAAAACTAAATAAAAACACGACTAAGTGACTGTTGTAATCGGCTGCTACAACACGTACCTGACGACTAATGACCTCCGGGGTGAGCGGAGTGAGCTCCTCAATTTTAAGCTTTGACAAGTCCTGTACTGCCAGATGCTTTTGCATGGGTTCCATCATATTTCTTGTATTTATTATTGTCAGGTAAGGAGATTCTGTGTCCAGTTCATGCAAAGTCACATCATATACAGCATTAGTCTTTGCAAATTTGATTACGTCATTCTTTCAAGAGAGGGATTTCAATGACGTGTAAGCAGTACAATTACACTGATCTTATCTATATCATTGCTCTATGCTCTTCCTATAGTACGTTGCTATAGTATAAAACCCCTTACCTGCTTAACACGGTCGAAGATTCTGCTTCGAGCCACTGGACACCAAAGGGGAAGCGTAGTATTACTTGATAGGTCATAAAAGCCGTACCATTTAGCTGGTACATGTGTGGTACACATCGATATTTAGCATGTCTTCATCATGTAAGTGTTGCATCTTTGAGTCACCATATGTTTATGAGCATAATAGTGGTACATCATAATTAAAAGTGAAGGAGCTGTGCTTGTAATGATCTCATTACAAGCGACGCAACGTTTAATTGGCGAGCTACGGGCTGATTTGAGCTTCAGCTGCACTGACGTAAGACAAGGCATTAGAGCTTTTTGTGCAGATAGATTTGCTACTGACTGTATCACGGCGCTTATATAAAAAGATCTGGTTATTACAATGCACACGTACAACACCGTGCCCTGCAATATCTAAAAGAGCAAGCGGATCAGGTGGACGGCTGGCAATCTACGGGCCAATGCGTCCGTGTTACTAGAGAAAGAGTGCTTTCTGCCCACTTTATTGGACGAGGAGGGCATAGTGCGTGACGCGGCAGTGCAGGCGTGGAAGACGATGCTACCGCTTCTTCGCAATGTTTGGCTCCTTTTGCAACACTAGCATAGCTATCAGCAAGGCACTGGCTACAGCGTAAAAATGCAATCGCTATCACGAGTGGTGGCGTAAGTTCCATAGCATCCACATAGGGACGCAAAACGTGCGTGAATTCAGTTACAATTCTACCGTATTGAATGCCAACACTGTAGCAAACTAGAAGCATGAGCAACGTGACGCGTTACTGAAAGGCTAAGACACGAAGCAGAGAGTAGATAAAGCACATCCAGATCCTCAAAGATTGACTCGCAAGCTACTCCGTAGCGGTCTCAAGTTTCCACACAAGAGACCTAGTAACTCGCTTCGGTAATGGCACAGCTTTTAACATCAGCACAGCAGAAAACTCGCGCCGCTGACATCGACTCTCACCTGACTAATAGTCCTCGTCTACTTTGCGTGTTGTGCCAAAATGGATGTGCGTTTTGTTCTTGTATACATTGTTACACTCTGGCGCAACATTCGAGTCTACCACGATCAACAATAACATCAACGTCATCAGTCAATCTAGTTGTATTACACTGCACAAACCCTCTCGCAAACGCACATATTGCAGGAGGTGCTGCGATACGTTGATCCTGTCGGGTATATGCACGTACAGCACTGTCTTGCCCATTACAAACACTTCATCCAGCATCAACTTCTTGCCCTATCTTAGCCAAGTCAACCCAGAGGAAAAAAAGCAGAAATGTATACAAATTCTTAGTATAAAGTATACGTTTAGTACCACACCTTGTACAACTAACATTCGGTTTACTCTCGCAGACATTTAAAAGTGTAATGTCCATATCCTGCACGACTTCCTGCACCACACCTTCCAGCACTGAATCATTCTTCAAATCAATACGTATACGCAATCCTACAAAACTCTTGAGAAGCAATAGCAACGACCGTATTTTACGTGTCTTTCTTCTCTTTACCTCCATTACGTTGTACACACAATTGACACACAAATCTTGTCCGCTCGCCTGGAGCCATTGATTTCGTACTTAAACCGATTTCAATCAGTTTTGGAGTATTCTCTCTTGTTCCTACGTCGCATGGGTCCTCGTGGTGCTGGTCGGCGTCTGAATGACCAGGAGCGTATGGAAATTCTTGAAATCATTCAACGTGAAGCAAAAGTAAAAAATGTAGATTTGGCCAAACGTTATGGTGTGTCAGAAGGTGCTATCCGTAAGCTAAAGCAGATGAAAGACACGGTCCGTAATCGGTATTTCATGGGCAATGAGCACAATCGTGACAAGCGCAAACGTGGAGGTTTTAAACGTAATGCGCCATTTGAAGAAGAACTGTATCAATGGATTGTACGGATGCGTGATTCGCAACCGTATCAGCTAATGCCGCTTACGCAAACGGCCGTGCGTCAACAAGCCATCGTGTTGGCCAAGAATTATGACAAGATGGCGAACTTTAAGGCCTCTCCAGGCTGGTTTGCACGCTTTTGCTCACGTCACCAATTGGATCCAATTGTTACAGCTGTAGACACTACTGCAGTCACTGCACTGGTGGCTCCAGATAGCACAACTCTGGGTGCTGATACGGGGGTGCCACAAACGATGACAACCTCCGCTTCAGCGGATGAGACGGTTTTCTTGATGGAAACACTCACATCATCTCCTGTCACGACGTCAGAGATTGTAAATGAAGGAACTGGCTGCAAGATGGAGACACCGTCGATTAATGAACAAGTACAGCAAGCTGCTCGTGAGCACAATGAAGCAGCTTTGCGAGCTGCGGCGGTCAAGATTGATGAGGTGCAAGCGTCAGCGGCGAACGGGTCAGAGGAGAAGGAGGAGGCAAAGACTCAATCTGAGTTAGACGAAGAGACAGAAGAAGAGCACGAGGAGGTCAAAACCCCTCTTGGTGATGCGACGGCTATGACGATCGACGACGACGACGAGATCTTTAGTCTTGGCCTTTAGTATATAGTAACGCTCTTGTCATATCAATACACGCACATGATCAAAAAGAGCCTCTGATGTCTGTTTAAAATCTAATCGACACGTGGTCGCCATTGGACTAAGAGAAGAGAGATCACAAGACCCAAGAGCTAGAAGCTGTCAGGATTCAGGAAAACGAGAGAGTGAAGATACAAGAAGCACCAGATAAGGATCTGTCGCAGCTGTCGACTGGGAGTGGTAACGGCACTTCCAGACACCCACGCGACACTGTAAAGGCTACTGGGCTTGAGCAACCTACAAAGACGATGTTCTTCTCTTTTGTGTTTGCTCTGTTGCTAAGCAATGTGCTACGATCTCAACCATCTGGAGCTGCGCTTAATGGATAGCTTGGAAGCGTTGCTCGCCACCTGCTTGCTCGTTCAGCCTTGTTCTGGAGCAGTGGAGGTTATGAGAGCGATTGTAGACAAGATGCAGGACGGTGGCGGACAAGCAAAGACTACTCCCAAGTGAGCTTACGTGCTGTCGCTGCACGACGTGGGTATATTATCACCTATGGCGAAAGACATTTAGAAGCTACACTGTCTAGAGGTCAAGTGCTCAAATGCCCGTGGCAAACTATGCTTTTGGTGTTATGACGAACCCGGAGTCCTTACGAGGCTGGGACAATGCAGCGACGCGCTCAGCACCGTGTTATCGCAAATAAAACTGCCAACACAAGGAGTACCAGCGCAGCGACATTCCTAAGGCGGTATATGTCTACGTTTGACAAACTGGGCATAATATCAATCATGCTCTTCGTCAGTGGCATTCAAATAAAGTCTTACATCTTGCAACAGGTGCGGTAGATCAAGAAGTGCCGTCATTAGATGCGCTGTCTTGGTATGACTCTGTACCCTCTATAAATGCCATGCTCCAATTTTTTTAATTTAGCAAACAGAATATAGTAAAATACATTTTTAAGTACTATTCATAAAGCAAAAAAGCCTACGAAACACGATAATGATCTTCACGCCGTCGCCCACCATTAACTACAACTTCGTAGCGGGCGTGTACGCCTTCTTCACAGCACTCTGCGCTCTCTTATCAGTGCTACACTTCTACTCGTCGCAGGTAGAGGGGTTCTATATCGTCCTCCTGCCGTTTGTGCCGTGCTTCCTCTGGAGTCTCATGGTGCGTCATCGCTGGCTGCAGCAATCAAAGACTACAAGCAAGAACGCGGAGGAATCCAAGAAGCAAAAATAGCTGACTAAGTGATCATGGGATGCAGAATAGGAAAAAGTCGATAGATAACCCCAAACTAGAGAAAGGTTAAGGCATTCCGGGTTTTATAGTGGTTTTACTAGCATTTTAGGGCTTTTAATAAGCTAAAAGTACTGCTGTCTTCGTGGTTGACAGTAGTAGAATTGCCCCGAGGCACAAACATGCAAGCATCATGGTGTTTATGATCCGACTCAACTCTCTTTGTCAACTTTTGAAGGACCCGTTCAAATCGCAACTCATGCTCGCGTTGCGACTTCGCAACGTTTTTCTCTGCTGTAGTGACGGTAATTGCGTTATTGCTTTCGCGTGCGACAGCAAGTGCCGTAGTTCTTACAGGATGATACTAAAGAGGTTTGTCAGCTTCCATCCGTGCGCCAGCAAAAAAGAGAAACCTTTGTCGAGACATCATTTGCTCTAACTAGCTAAGCGGCGACCGACTGGACTACCAATCTGTTGTAAAGATCTTGACGTGCCGCTCCAGCAACGATACACTGTACTGCGTACAACTTTAATTGATACCGATCTATTCGAGTGTACTCGACATCTGAGTGCGACGGAGGCCGAACAGTTGACTTGCCGTGCTCTTAATGTATTTAGCGAGCCAGACGCTCCACCGTTTCGTTATTTGCAGCCAGATTAACTTATTTTACTCTCAAGGTCATGATCAAGCGCAGTCGAGTGTATGTAGGATCTCAGGAACATGCAGCAACTCCATCTTGTCCAGCGAGCTTTCATCAGGAAATGCAAAACCTGTAGTGCCACTTACCCCTGTCTGCAAAGAAGCGGTCGCAAATTCTTCCAAGTCTCCCTTTGTCATTGTCGCTTCGCGACAAGTTTGTCCTTGTCGCGAAGCAACAAGGACAAACATGTTTTCGGACCGTCCGTGAATCACCAGCTCCGGGAGTAGATCATTGTCAGCACTCCATTGTTAAACGAGTTTTCACTAGCAAGTGTACAACCAATGGGTAACAACAAGTACACACCTTAAACGACACGCAGCATTCATCTGAGATGGCCACCCAGCAGTAAACGGCGCGGGAAATTTAACGTGACTTTCCCCTCTTCACTTTTACTGCTTCATTCAAATTATCTCTTCGTATCATTAACGAGAATAGAATGTATCTTTAGCGAGAGCAAACAGTATTCGTGGTCATAACCCATAGAAACAACAAGAGAGCGTGATTGCTGACATCGAGACTCGAAATATGGTACCATCAGTTGCAGACTTGGTCCAGATTCGCAAAATGGTTTGCCACTCCTCGGACGAGTAGAAGGATGCCATAGGATCACATCTCGTCGCGATAGCCAATGAGGTCTACGATGGCCTCAGTGTCAATGCCTCTGCACTTCTCGACGTCCAGGCAACAGTTTTCACAACAGCAACTCATGCACGAGCTAGTCGAAGAAGCTGCAGTGGCATGATAGACAATGTGGCGCCACTTACGCGGCATTTTATAAACTAATTTGGCAAGCGGTGCTGCTGATGCAAAAAACTATATAAGCGTTTGTGGTCCATTGTCTCTAAGTTACTATGAGAGGGAGTTGCATGTTTCTACCTCTTGCACGTAAAGATGGTGGTGCCCTTATCAACTGCAGGTAAAAGTTTTCGAGCGAGATTTCGTAGCCTAAAGTCGCCCTCTACAAATAGTCACCCTCTTGTAGCTGCTTACGCTCCTCTTCAAGCTCGGAGATCATTAGTGGCTTAGTCGATGCAGTACTAACGTTTGCTGCTGCCAAGAGGCTTAACGAGATTCAACTTGAGCTCGACGAAGTATGTGGAGCTTGGACGTTAATACCGCTGACATTCGAATCTACCGAGGTCGTATGGTTGCCGTGCCCTACCAACCCAACTACGCTCGAATCGTAACCACCCGCCTTTGCCTTTGCTTGCACTTTGCAAAAGCGAGTAAGTAGGATCAGCAATACAAGCTACTTCTTCTTGGTCGATGGTTGTGGAATCGCACAGGCGGCACCTTCCGGTCGCTGTGATAACTAGTCATACACGTACAAGCTACAACTAGCACAGAAAGCGAAAGGAAGTGTGCAGTCTATATACAAGACCTACAGAGTGTCGGTCGTAAAACGCATCAGCGTAGCAACGGTTCGAACCCGCGTAGGTTTCTGTCAAATAACACCATCAAATGCAAGTTGAGGCATTGTATATCGGTGCTGGCCTCTCCTACAACCTTTTTGCACGAGAGAAACAGTCCACAGACTTGCTGTTGTGAAATGATATACACATCGCGCCAAGGTTTGCATTCATATCTATATCCCACTGAATGCCAGGTAGTATTATCTCTTCATATGGGTCAGAGCTACCAACTCCTGATCACAGCTGACAGCTTGTGGACTGCAGGAAATGCACACACAAACTGCAGAAAAGAACAAATATCACAAGAGGACAATTTGCGCAACCATTCCATTCTACCCTTATCTCTCATAATGCTGCTTCTCTTGTTTTTGTTGCTCGTGGTATCACCAACTACGCACGGCTATGGCTGATGTTGTAGCGACTGCGGTCACATCGTCTTTGGTGTATTTGTATATGGCCACGGTCATAATGAAACGGCTACAACGAATTCGTTTCGACTTGTGTCGGCTGCTGAACTCCATTTGGCTGATTGGGTGGCCCACTCACTGACGGCTTCTGATCCGTGCACGCGTACGGGTCTTTAATAGTCACCAGAAACAACAAAAAGTTAGAGCAAGCAATGACAACGAAGTAAGACGAACTTTGACACTACACTTCGCATCAAGCTCCCTCAATATACAATACAGCAAATACAATTACGTACTCGGTGCAGTCATCATATCAGGTCCCCCACTAGAGCTCCTTTGCGTAATGCTCAAAACCTGACGCATGTTCAACCACTCTTTCTCCCAGATTTGCACCTGGTACGGCGTGGGTGTGCAGGATTCCAACGTCGTGTCAGAGCACTTGCCTTCCAGCATCATGACAGAGTCCTGGACTTCCGGCCTTATGACATTGCAGCCGTTTATATTGAACCAGTACTTGGTACCAGCCACTATCTGCTCGTATACTGAATCCACGCACGACCAGCACACGCGCATGCTACCAACCGATTCGGAATAGCCCTTATCGTCTTGCAAAGCAGATGTCAATGTATTCACGTTTTCGTCCGTCGGTGAGATCAAGGACATTCCACCCACTATATGTTCTGCAACAGTACGCATTGTGGCAAGCGCAGGGAACGCCAGGAGAGAGAGAGCTACACGCATCGTATTAAAATTAGGTGGTGGGTGGAAAATTTGGAAATGATTTATCTTAATTGGTCAAAGGCTCATTTTGTATACTCACGCCATCGAGTTCAAAAGAACATCTCACTGAAGAGGGTGTAGCCAATTAAAAATGCGGATACGTTTGATTGGGTGATAGAGAATTTTAACTAAGAAATGTATCGCATAAGAGGAAAAACTCTAAATCGCACCCACTAAAAATCAATCCGCACCCACTTGCCGCGCCCATCACTCATTTGATCCTATTATAGTTATATATTGCAGCTAGACGAGAACATGGCGCTGCATAAGGTCTGTGAAACGAAGAATATGGTGGAGAGCGCGGTCCGTATGCGTGATCATGCTCTGCATTCAGCGGAACAGAAGTTTTCATAAGCAGGAAAGTGCGTCCACGGAGCAAGAGGTAGCGGAAGTCAAACAAGTCCTTCTTCGCCAACTCCGAGCGGTCGCTATCAGGGAACAACGAAGAGATAAAGATGTGAGCAAAGGCGTCTACCTTCGCCTAGCAACGGAAATGTTCCAAGACACCATCAACATCAGGCAGTCGGTACTGCATAGCCCACGTAACCGCCAGGAGACAACTCCTGGGGTACTGGAATGGCTGAGGACTTTTCAGAAATCTTGTACACCATAAACGGTAAATAGACAGTCTGTTTCCACACAAAAAGGTATGTGTAACGGGTCGATAGTTACACGAGTCCGTAAGTATATGATACTTAACGGGGAGGTTTAAAAGGGTACGAGACCTCCTAATTGACCCAACCTTGCGGATGTGATATCCATGGATAGATTAAGATTTTAACGGAGATGACGCCCAATTGGGACTAGGCGTCATGATGACGTCACAGACGGACGTCATGGCGAGATAAATATATATTTGAGCTCGCACTTAGGGATGCGCTTCTATAAAGACGTGGAACCATTGCAAAATTAATCAATTAGTAGCAAGTTATATATAAAAATATTTTAGAAGGCAAAAGACAGTCTTACATTTGTTACACATTGTACATTGCACACAAGAAGCTAAACAAGCTTCTGCATGTAGCATGTGAAATTTTTGCTTAGTAGCTTGTTGCGCAGTTTTCTTTTGCGAATGGCAACTGTTGGTGCGACGTCTAAGCATACGACCAAGAATCCCACCACCGCGTACGGAGATTAGACGGTTTAACCGCTTCCTCGCGTGCTTAATGTAACGGGGTGAGTCCGTTACAAATATTGACACTTATATGAAGTGTCAATAGAATATTATTATAACTAATAATATTTGACAATATTATCTTTTCTTATAATATTGTTCCTAGATCTCCTTGAAGTTGGAGATGCCCTATCATTGGTTGATATGGGCCATCATATCAGCCAACGCGCTGACCAATGACCGATGGACGCGCGCAATGAGTGGAGGGCAAGTTGTCAGCATACCTAGTTGTAGTTTAGTATAGCTAACATAGGTTATAACAGATTAGTTTTATTAGATAGTTAACTATATTAAATACAGTTTTCTTTCCCTCTCAACTAAGCGTTTGTTTAGTTGATTCCCTTCCTCTGCTCACGTGTACGTGAGGTAATTGAGGCACCTGCTTTCGCTGTCATCAGTGAAGGTAGACTATACTATTATCAGTATAGTCGGAGGGTGCCCCATTACACCTGGTAGCACTTCGTGGTCCGTTCAGCGACCACCGCACCATCCGCTATGGAATCAGCGGGTGATGAACGTCATCACGCAACGCGTGATGACTTCCGACATTTGAGTGACCTCGAATGGAATGCGGTTCAGCGTATGGCTGAAATCATCGGCAACCCTGCCGTTGGTGCCATGTTGCTCTCTCTTAGCGGAGACGACCAACATGCAACCATCGCCGAGTTCATACAACATGAATTTGACGAAGTTGTAAAGAAACTCACCTTGCTACAGAAGCAAGGTTCTCAACAGGTTGACCTGTTGATGCAGAAGAATTCTCAACAAGCTGACTTGTTGATGCAGCAGGGTGTTCAACAGAATGAACTGTAAATCCAAGAGCAGGCTATTATTGCCCCTGCCGGGTCGACGCATGTACGTCGACCCGAGTACTTGAAGATTGATGTCTCCAAGTACAAGGCAGTCGAAGGCGACTCCTTGTTAAGATGGTTCGTCGAAATCGACGATTCCATTGAGGCTCGTCGCATCGATGACGATGCGATGAAGGTCAAGTTCGCCATGTCGAACTTGGCAGGACGTGCCAAAGCTCGGTCCTTAGGGCTCAAACTGCACGACCCACACGTTTACCCAACGTATGATGTCTTCAAGGCGCGGCTCAAACACACGTTTGAACCGCCTCGCGCCGAATTCAGGGCTCCAGCTGAGCTCCTGGATTTGAAACAGGGTAAGCGTGATGTACACGCTTACGCCCAACACGTACGATACCTCGTTAGTTGTATCGTGCTGAACCCAATCGATGAACACACGCAGGTTACTGTGTTCATCAAGGGTCTGACAGATGGTCCTGTCAAGACCCACCTGTTCCGCTTGGACCTAGAATCGCTGGACCAAGCGATCTCTGCAGCGGAACAGGAGGACTTTAGCCTGCAACAGGCTCACGTCCACTCGGGGTCCTATCGTTCACCGAGACGACAGGAGGGCGGAGGTCCAGAACCAATGGACCTCTCCTATGTAGAGAGCGAGCGACCTCGCTCTCCAGGGTACAAGCGATTGCAAAAGTGCAATCGATGTCAGAAGTTGGGCCACTACGCTTATGAGTGTAGTGCCCCCCGCCTAGTGTCTCGTAACACTGGGAGTGACGATCGACCGTCTGCCAAGAAGAGCCAGAGACGTGGGTCGCACGTGTTGCGAGATCGCAACAACGTGGGGTACCTTAAAAAAAACGGTCGGGGTCAGTAGGGGAGGATCGCCCTGCTGATCCAGCAACGTCAAGAGAGTTCGCGGGACTCTTGACGAGGGTTGCTCCCAACACACAGTCACCGTGTGTTGCCGCTCCTAGTGATGAGGTATCTCTCATCACCTTGAAGATCGAAGTGACAAAGAACATGTCACTTCGCGACCTAGTTGATTGCAGGGCGTCGAACAACTTTGTTCAACGCCAATCGCTAGATGATCGTAGGCTCAAATGTGTTGAGCGCGAGACCCCTCCAACGAGGATGACGGTGCGTCTTGCAACTGGCGCATTCGTAACAGTAAAGAAACGTGTAGTGGGAATTCACTACACGCTTGAAGGCAAAAAGTACGATGATGATTTTCATCATACTCGACCTGGATGACAAAATTGATGTCATCCTAGGATTACCATAGCTCAGAAGGTAAGATCCATGGGTCATCTGGCAGCATCGAACCGTGAAGATGCCTGCCGCTTGTTCATCAGTTGGCCATCTGATGAACGTATTGGAGCGTTCACAAGCTTGTGAATGTACTACGAGTGAGGGCGATGGCCTCGCTTGTGAATGTACTACGAGTGAGGGCGATGGCCTCACTTGTGGTCCGTTCGTCAGTACGATTTCCCAAGAACTCGGTGTGTTAGATAGTCATACTGTGGAGCAAGCTGCCGGCAACTGTGCACAAGCACAGGCAGTGATGAAGGTCCACCACTCGAATAAGTCGAGTGGAATGGGACATGAATGCTCGCCTAGAGGGCAGCATTCACCGAAGAGTAAACCGGTTGCCCAGAAGCGGCAACACGGTAATCCTAGAACAACTGGAGCGTTGATCGTAGGGGATCTCGCTGTGGTTGCGCCACCACAGCTAGAGGAAGTCGATGAAATAAGTTCCATCGATCCTGAGTAATAAGACCCAGGAAGTAACCGAGACGTTGAACGTCTTGGTTAATGACGGATCAAATGTAAGCGCTTATACGCTTGATCTGATCGCGCCTCCGAAGTTGACTTCGGAGATAACTCAGTTGCCTACGCTAGAACCTAAAAGTTTCTTGCGTGATCTGCGTAGTGGCAAAGTCAAGCAGATCTGTGTGCTCGTCGCAGAGGACGAGTACATGACTGACATTCGGTCAGCAACAGTTTTTGCCGAGAACGAACGGGTTCTTAGCAGCTCATCAATGGACGAAAGTGTCCTTGATGAGAAGACTCGGATTGAGCGATATACATCGCAATCCTGGGAGTCGCTGAAGTCAAATCCTTTGTACAAGGATTTGGTCGAATTCAAGGATGTATTCCCTGAATCCGTTCCGTGCGAGTTGCCTAAGGATAAAGGTACTCGACACGAGATCGACCTTGTTCCTGGCACAAAATATTGTGTCATGAAGCAGTGACCACTGCCTCGGGAACAGGTCGAGGCGATCGACAAGTTCTTTGCCGATCGCCTAAAAGCGGGCCATGTGAGGGAGTCAACTTCACCTCACAGCTCTCCGACCTTCTGTGTGCGCAAGGAAACAGGAGGGTGGCGGATAGTCACGCGTTCATCAAGTTGAATGCTGCAACGATCCCGGCGCAAACGCCGATACCGAGAAAGGACGTAATCATAGATGGTATGTCTATAAATACCATCTTTCCGTCCATGGATCTGATGGATGGTTTCTAGCAGATCCTAATGCGTGAACGGGACATCCCGTACACAGCAGTGAGCACTCTCAGTGGTATGCTTTGGGAATGGTTGGTGATGCCGCAAGGGCTTAGTAATGCACGAGCCACATTCAATAGATGTGTTTCACATCTATTAAGACCGGTGCGCGAATTCACTCCGAGTTACTTCGATGATGTGCTCGTCCATAGTACGGGAAATCAGACGTGGAAGTCCATAGACTCCACGTCCGTAAGGTTCTTACACTTATGCGCGAGCACAAGTTGTACGCCAACCTCAAGGAGTGTATATTCGCACCTAGCGAAATACCACTTCTTGGGTGCATCGTCGGAAAGAACGGCGTACGCCCTGATCCAGAAAAGATTAAGGCGAGCACCGACTGGCCAGTGCCAGTCGATGTCAAGGGACTAAGGAA